GTCCTCCACAACTAGACTGAAAAACAAAAAACTACAGCAACTTGTCTGTTCCCCTTCCCCCGATTCCCCAGTGCTGTTCCCCTCCCCCAATTCCCCAATGAAATCTTTAAAAAAAAAAAATGGACACCCCTTATCAATCATGACATTGCAAATGAACATATGATTTGAACTTACTTTATTTTTAAGTTGTCTAAGCAAGTCTTTATGTAGGTGTCATAATAATTAATTTGCTCTTCATAAAATGCTGCCTTCTCGTTAAGAGCTCCCAAGGTCTGCTGAAGTTTCACCAACTCAGCTTTTCGAAGCTTACGATAGATTCTTTGATTTCGAATGTCCTAAAACAACAAGGAAAGGCTATGACATGAGACTGAAGCAGAAGTTTGCTTTCTGATTTTGCCACTTTGGGACAGGAAGATTATCAAGTATGAAATCACCATTTGTGACTGTTAACTGGTAGTTTATCTCAGTCAGTCACTGTATTTTAATCTCTCACATCCTTCCCTTTTCATTTCAGAGCTGGCAAGTGTCCTTATTTCACTTTAAGAGAGCTGCTAAGATTTATTTTTTTCTTGGCGGAAAAGCAAAGAAGCAATGTTAAAATGACCATACAATTAATTTAAAGAAGAATAGTGTTTTAAAAAGGGCACAAGGAAGACGTTAGCAGTAGAAAAGCAATTTCTTCAGGATACTGCAAACATTCCACTTTGAAGAATATGCTGAAAAGGATTAAATTTAATAATTGCATTCATTTTAGAAATAAGAAAAAAATAAATACCCTTTTAAATAAAACTGGGAACTATTCTCAAGGTTTACAAAAACCATAACTGGACTTCCAGGACTAACTGAAAACATTGAACACTGATAATTATATAACTAATACTTGGATTTAAATAGAGTTCCTAGAACATAAAGTTGTCCAAGTTGCTTAGAGCTTATAAGAACTATGCTACAATTAAACTCACAGATACCAGGTTGTTTTTTCCTTTTCTTGGAATTCTAGTTGGTAAATTATGAAAAGGTTTCATTTAAGAAAATGGTGCCTATTTAATATTATTTTTCCATTGTGGACAAATTAAAAACATTCCCCTAGGAATTCAAAGATAGACAGACACACCCTTCTTAAGTGAAAATTCTTCATTAAATAGAATCCTTTGGTTGATGCCTTCTTAATAGCTGTTCTTCTTTTTTTAAGGCAAAAGCGTCAATTTCTCTACTGCATTTTTCCAAAGAGAAATATTTTCCACCCCAGAGTTATAGAAAGAAATGCTACTTTCCTTGACTCACTCGGGCTAGGAGGAATAAGTCTGACCATGACTTTCCATAGAAGCATGAAGCTGAGTGCATTTCTCTCCCAGAAGCTAAGAAAATTAATTTTTTCCCCCTGATCACTTAACTGCCCTTCACTTCCAGACCCATTTCAATGAGCATGTTTGGGTAAAAATAATGAAATATCCTTTGAACACAAATATCCCTTGAAACCAGATCTTCCTTATCCTTGGCAAACAGATCTCAGCCAGTTCCTGTAATGTTTCCTTGCACTAATTTGAGATCTTTTTTCAGGAAGTTTCTGAATTGTCAAAATATGGGATGAGAAAACAGAAACTAACTTTCAAGTCAAGACTACATATAGTCTACATTGCTTAAAGGCAAACTCGCTGTGACACAGAGTTACCATCTCAGCAGCAGGTTCTAAGGGCAACTGGGCATTACAACTAACAACTCGAGAAAGAGCTCTTCTAAAAGTGTCATTTTAGAAACCAATGCCTTTAGGTATTTCTTAAAGGCATGGATGAAACTTGTCTACTACATTTCCTGATAATTTATTTCTGGTGTGTGTCAACTCTTCTAATGGCTTGGGGGAGTTATGATTACTCTCCATTAAAAGTTATCAACTACTCTGAAACCTTTACGAGTCTGTAGCATTGACCATGGCATACACAACTATGAACCCCTCATGTCACCTCACAGATTGCCCAGCAGGTGACCAATGATTAGCAAATGTCTGCTACATGAAGAAAGAATACTGTTTCCAAAAACCTTGGCAATCTCATTGAGAATGTCCTGGTATTTATTTTTGGATGACACGTGTCCCGTCTGTTCTAATGTCCGAAGGTTCCTCTGGATTTTCCTCTTCTTCTGCTCAAGGGGCAGCTGTGCATCTTCAACCATAGACTGGCTATGCTTCATTTCTTCTGGAGTCTTGGAATCTTTAATTGCACGGCTCACCATGTCTGTGGCATGATCTGTTTCCTGAAAAAGGAATATTAAGATGTTGCTTTTCCTCTGATACCCTAATCTCACAGATTTAGAACCTGCACAAGGCAAGTTAATGTCAAAAACGAAAGGAGTCCTCAAACCAACGTCCAAAGATTAGAATGTATTCTTCATGGGTTTTGAAGTTGACCTTTGGGGGAAGGAATTACTTCACATTTTTGAGAAACATGGGAGTGGTGGAAGGCTTAATTTAGGCAAAATTCTCATAGCTACTTTATTGCTAAGGAGACAAATCACCTGAGTATTGAACATAGTACAATGGATAACTAATATTTTGTAATTCCCCGGATGAAAAAATTTCAATTACTGGATAGTGCCATTGAGGAAACTGAAACTAGATTATCCATTAAAACTTGGCTATGACAACCGTGAACATCCAGAACCCAACTAAATTCTTGCACATCAGCCACATTTATGGAGACTCACAAGCCAAAAACGCAGAGACCTTCGTTCTGATAAAGGAATCATGCTCAAACTATAATCTCTGAAAAACCTTGCAGGGTTTCTTTCAACCAAAGGGAATAAGGGTATTCTAGCACGTAATAAATTCCCAAATAAATGATGAGTAAATGAGTGAATACAATTTGGATAGTTTGTTAAAAAAACCAAAACAAAACAGTAATAAAAAGAGACTGGTGATCTCATTTCATTGTACTAGACAATTAACTGACACATAGATAAAGTTTAAGGATATAAAAAGAGACTGGTGATCTCATTTCATTGTACTAGACAATTAACTGACACATAGATAAAGTTTAAGGATANGCGAGCCGCAGTTTGCCGACCCCTGTTCTATAGCCCAATACCTAGGTCTCGTTTTCTTGTTTCTAGCTGTGAAAATTTCTTGGTCCTTAATGGTAATGCCTTGTGTATACATTAAGCAAGGCCACCTGCAGAAGGTGGAGTCACCTTTGAGGGAACTGGACTCTTGCCAGCTTCCTCCTCCACTTCCTCAATTACCTCCAACTGCACTCAACTAAAACCCTACATTATTTAGATATGCGTCCAGGACAAAAACTCCATAGGGAATTGAAGGCCTTTTTATCAAGAATGATTTTCTCCATTAAAATGTAGTGGAGATTCACTTTTCCTTTGGGAAAGGCAATATCTGTTCATTTAAGTCTCTTGGAAAAGAAATCAATATGGTTGAGAAGAAATGGTTTGTTCAGGGGAATTTGCTGTGCCCCGAAGTGGGGGAGCAGAGAAAATATAATCACACTGTGGTTAGAAGGCCAGATTTTAGTCTTAGCTCTGCCATTTGCTACCTTATTACCTTGTAATATCACATAACCTCTCTGAAGTTGTTTTCTTGTGTGTAAATTGAAGCGAACACTCCCAACCTGACAGGGGTGTTACTGGGCCTATGAGATCAATCCTTTGAAAAGCCACCCTGGTCTTGCCAGGATCAGCGGGAACCCTGTGAGAAAGGCAGCGAAGCAGAGCGACCAGGAGCCTGGGCTCCAGCTGCCTCTTCCATAATGAGCTCTTTGAAGCTCCGTGCTTCCGCTGGGAAACCGAGAACGCCATCCCAGCAGCCCTCAATACACACGGGCTATTATTTGTATGAACAGAATGTCTTCACGTAAGTCACGACTTCCTGTTACGTATATGGCCTATAGCTATAGAATATAAGTAGGATATAATCTTTAGGAACTAAGGGAAGAGTGGGCTGAAGAAAACCTAGACACGTAGTGTTAGAAGGGGTCTCCCTTAGACCTCTTAGAAACTTCTCTGCTGTTTCCAGTCCTTGACTCACACTAAAAACCTGGACGGCATGTTTCTCTTTGGTAATTCATTTGATCATGTAATCGTCTCATAGTAATATGTATAAATGAAAGTCTGATTGTATGTGTGACAGCTATTATATTCAGGGCCAGCTCCTTGGGCGCTCAATCTGTGCAGGGTCTCGTGATCAGAAGGGTCCTGCACTAAGTTTAATGCTCTGCTGTCATCATCTTGAAATTCTCAATAACTTTGAATAAAGGGCTCTGCATTTTCATTTTGCATTGAGCACTGCAAATCCTATAGCTGGTCCTGTACAGTAATGACTTTAAAAGTCTGGGGCTTATTAGCCATCTGCATACAACTGAGGAGTAACATTTCACAGTCATGTGTATAAATGAATGGTGTGAATAGCTAATTCCACTGCATACTGAATCCTTAACAAAGGAACAAGTGAAGCTTGGTATTTGCACCAGTGTTCAAAGGAAGTTGCGTGGAATTACTGAGGCCTCTCTAAATAGGTGTTTACTGGTCACTTAGGATTCATCTGTCCAGTTGACATTATTGGTTTTGGGTCATTTCCTTCCTGGCAATCACATGGTATGTCTGCCACCTCTAGAGAAGAATCACTAATTAAGGCCCATCACCACCAAAACATTCTTTTCTCTTCCTGTATTTATCTAAGTGTTACAGAAAGTAACTCAAGACTTTCAGTTAAATTGTCAGATGGATACATTTAGTGAAATTTAAATTAGGTTAGAAAACAATACTGTTTACTTAAGTATACTCTTCATAATTATACATCTTTATAAAATCTTTATATACATCTTTATAAAAAAAACATCTTTAATTTTCTCTCTGTACTCTAATTTACTCCATAATCCCAATGGCCTTATCATGCCCATTTAGTTCCCATTTTTCTTTTCAAGCTAGGGATGCAAGACAGAGAAGAAGGGGAGGGGAGATAATTTCAGGACTGTTAGGGATGGGCTGAGCAGGCAGTGAGGCTGGAACTACCATCACTCCCAGTGGCTTATTCAAATGATTCATGTAGATACAAGCAGAATGCCTGGAAATCATTT